GGGGGGGGGGAGGGTCTACGATCGGCGGATTATCGGGGTATCGGTTAATCGGGACACGAGTATCGTGGGTATCGTCCGTGAGGCGTTCCGTCGACGAGGCCGGTCTAGATTGCCGAGTTCGCCAGCCCTTTTGTATTCAGTATGCACTTAGTTAGGCAGCGGAGAAAATAGACACTCTTACAAATGAAGATGGTGGAGCGAGCTCGCGGACCCGTGTATTTCTTCTCTTTAGTTATCATCTTCTTCTTCTCTCTCTCCCTCTCTCTCTTCTCCGCTATTCTATCTACTCTCGTACCTTTCCGTCGACGTCGTCGACGACAGGCGTTTCAGATGCTTCACCGGACCTCTGTTCTCGCGCAATTGAGAGGTGCTACGTGAGATCTTAACGGTGATTCTAGATATTCTGACTGGTGGAGGATGTATCGTATTGTCTCGAATTGACGGATTCGTCGCAACGATGTTGTCCCCGTCTCAGTGCTTCCCCCTCGAGCACTCGAGGACATTAATCTAAATCGTAGTAGTACGCTTTTCTGATTGGTGTCGTTTCTTCTTCTCTCCTCAACATCGAGGGATTAATCTCTCCGAGTATCTCGAGAAGTTGTCTCAGAGAAGGCCCGAGAGAGTCCGCGCCGAGAGTCCAACATCGTTGCGTGGAATCCTTCGCTTAGCGGCGGAGTTTCGGTGTGTTCAAATTTGGAAAAGCACCCGCGGCTGAGGTGGTCCGACGGTTCTCTTTTTCTCCCTCCTCCTCGAGTGGCCTTCTCCCTCTCCCTCTCCATTCGTCTCTCTTCCGTATTCTCTTCCCTGATCGAAAATCCCGCGCTCGCAGCTACATCAGCGTTTAGACACTATACACAATACGTAAATATATCTAGACGTACTACGTAGTAGAAACTTTTGAATATAATTTAGCGTAATTTCCGGAGTTGCGTATCTCCGCCCGCGGCTGTGCGCGCGGGCCGGACGATGAAGTTCATCGGATTCGACGTCGCGTGCAACGTGCTCTTCTCTGCGTATTCTCACGGGGGGATCCGACCGAAGCTTCTCGTGCGATCGTGAGGATCTACTCAAGGTTTCGTGAACGTCCGGCGTGCGTCCGGTATTTTCTTTCTTTTCTCGTCGACCCGACGATACGGATCGCCGTGTGAGAGAGGTGTCGGAGACGGTGGTGCGCGCGCGTTTCTACGAACGGACGAACGTTCCTTATGTACAAGTAGTACGAGACAAAATGTACAAGACGCGATGTGAAGCTAATAGACGGTAGTAGCAGCAAATAGTAGTAGTGTAATAGCGGTAGTATTAATAGTTTTAACGTCCAGCATGCCGTGTGTGTTTTTGATACGCTTCCCTGCCGTACGTCAAGAAGCAGCGACTCGAAGCTACGGTATGATTGCGAGATCACACGAGGGTGTAGAGTTGAATTTTGGAAGTTCGATCGATCGATCGCTAGCACGCTCGCCGGTTCGTAGAAAGAGGATTCGCCGTTCCGTCCTTGCCCGACGTCGATGTCCGCACCCCGAGCGGCTACCGAACGGAGGCAGGACGGGGATCTACACATGGATGTTCCGTTCGCGAGATCGCGCGCATCCGAAGCTTTCGGGCGGATCTCGGAATCGTTCGCAATAAGCAGCAGCCAGCAGCAGCAGCAGCCAGCAATAGTGGCGGCGGCGGCGGCGGCGGCGGCTGCGGCGTTCAGACTCTTACGATCTCTGATATCCTTTACGAATAAGAACGTTACTTTACAATTACAATGCCTTACTAGTTTTCTTTTTTTTCTTTTTATTACTAACGGGGCGCGCCGTGAGTGACGGTCAGGGCGCGCCTGTTTGGTCGTACGCAATGCTACATTTAAACTGTATATTAGAAAAAACTTCTTCGTCAACAACGTGTTTCACGTATCTACAGTAAACTCCTTGTCCTTCCGCACAAACGGCCGACGAAACGCGGTCGTGTCGCGAAAGTAGTGTTCATGTATTTGGTTGTGTCTGTGTGTGTATTTTTTTTCTGTGTATCTGAGGGGCGTGTGTGTAGAGAGGGTATGTGTGTGAGAGTGCGTTATACGATTCGCCTCGTTCGCGTTTTGCTACATTCCCGTGTGCTCGACTACGCTCCTTTCCAGACACGTGCGATCGCGTGGCGCGGGGATCGCGCGGACCCGCGCTTCTACGTCTTCTTTTTCCGTCTCTTTTTACTACTCCTCCTCCTTCTTCCTCTTCCGCTCTACGAGGTCAGTCTTTCGGCAACCGGCCCGCGATCGAGAGAGTCCGTCGCGTCTTCGAAGCACCGTGCGAGTTCCCGGGTGTGATCTCGTCCTATCTTACGTTACGAATATTACCAAATATATTGCGTACTGGCAGCACTGTTTTCACGTATCTTTGTCGAGACACACTCTCCTTCTCTTTTTTGTTCGCTCCCTCCCTCTCTCTTTCTCCCTTTCTCCCTTCCTCTTTCTTCTATATGACTAGCCTTCTCGTTCTCGCTCGCGGCACTCGCACGAAGAAGATATATATATCTCTCTTGTTTTACGCGGGGCGTCGCTCGTCGTCGCTGTCGAGCTCCGTCTTTCCTCGTCTATCTAAGTAGCTCCGCGAAAGGGCGGCGGAAGCCGCCTTTTTCTCTTATTGTAGTAGTTACCGGACAAACGTCGCGTGCCACGCGGGCTTGACCCTCATAGCTCGTCGTCTTAGCTCGAGATCTGTGGAAGATGATTCCCGGTGCATCGTCGCTGTCCAGGGACGGGGCTAAAGCTCTGTGACTCGTGTAAAAAAGGGAGAGGAATACGCTCGACCGAACTCTGCGGCGCGAAGGAAGCCGGAGGGTCTAAGTTTCGTAGGATCATCGAGTCTCTCGCTGTCTCTCCGCGGAGAATGACCGTCCCTTCCGGCGTGTCGCAGCGAGCGGAAGGGTTCGGGCGATCGTTTTCGCCAGGCGATGCGTGGGATTGCGCGTTAACATACCTCTCTCTCTCTCTCTCTTTCGCGTGTCTCTTTTTCTCGCTCTATCTCTCTTTCTCTCATTCACACATTCTCTCTCTCTCTCTCTCTCTCTCGCGGAATTAGTCGTGAAGGGTCTCGTTCTCGTGGCACCAAAGGTCAAACGCTACCCCCTTTGGACGGCCTCCTGCTCCCCTTCGGGCTCTTTCCAAGCTCGAAGTACTCGAATCGCTTCGCTCGTCGGCTTAACGCGGCATAGTCGCATCTTCTCAAGTGGGATTCGGCAGCGGCGTCTCCTGCCTGATGTCGCTCTTCAGCTTCACGAATTCCTTGGCGATCTCGTCGTTGTTGCGCTGCGAGAGGATGCGCAGGATCGTCCAGCCGGTCTCGTCCATCTGGATACGCTTGCCGAGCGACAACCAGCACGCGCATGAGCCCTCGTCGACGATGTCCTTGAGTTGCATCACCGCGACTCCGACGAGCCTGTCCTCCCTCGCGAAGCAGTAGTCCTTCACGCAGATGTGCAGCTCGTGGAAGTCCAGCTGCTGTTGCTCGTTACCGATCATGCTGAGAACAGCAGAGTAGGTTTCGTCTCGTGCATTGGAAAAGATTCGTCGAATAAAGCGCGGCCAAACGTTCATAATGTCCTTCAATTTTTTAAATTCGATTTTGTGCCCAATTTTTGTATCAAATTAAAGTATTCACCAAGCTGATTGCACACACCTTAAAGTATTTACTGTTTCAGAGAAAATGGATTCCAAAGATTTCAATCCTTGCAGATGGTGATTATTTCATTTGTCGGAATTGAAACTTTTGAAGTCTATTTTCTCTGGAACAGTGGATAGCTACACCTTAAGACATATTTGCAGTCAGGGTGGCGAATATCAAGATTGAGTACAAAATTGAGTGGGGAAAAAATAGGAAACATCTTAACCAACCTGTTGAAAAATCGAGACAAGAAGCGTTACTCACAAGTCGAAACTCTCGTTAAATTGCGGCGACCAATTGTTGCTCTTCGACTTCGTCGACTGCTTCCTCTTCTTGCCGGTGAGGTGCGGACCGATCAGGTTCACCTCGACGTACGGTCTAAACATGCCCGAGGTCAACTGCCACTTCAAGTCGTTCGCAGCCACGACTGAAAACGCGAGATTCGGATTATCGTCAATGTAAAAGTCCGAAAATGCATTTCGGCGAATTTGTCGTGAGAGTGGGTCGTACCTTTGACGGTGACTTTCTGGTCTCCGGTTCCCGGATGCGTGAAGAGATCCACCTGGATGCTCACCTCGCCCACCGAGTCCACCGCGCCCTCCTCCGAGCCAGTGGTATCTGCAACTTCATGAGTCGCAGTCAGAGATTACAGTCACGGGTGAAACGTCACGAAACTAGAGTGGCGTCTAGACACTACACGGCGGACCTCGTCTGATTCTATCCGATCTGCCATGACCAAACGCTAAAGGCTAAGAATCTATTTCTCGATCGCTATCTCTAGAGCAGATTACATGCTCCAATAATAGGCGAGTCACATTATCCTCTCGCTGGGCTATAACCGTTATAGAGAGAGGAAGTCAGCCTCTGCGAGGTTGCCAGTCACACGCGTCAATCGCACGAACGAGTCACCGATGGATCGCATGGATCGCTCGGCGATTTGTTCGAACTGATAATCGAGAACAAATCGGTTGCGGTGTCTCGGAGAATTTCAGCGACCATCTCCGATGGTTCAGTGCGTATGATACAAGTGATCCGTGGTGCAGCCGATCGATCGAGCGTGCGAACGACCAACCGATTCGATCGATTAATCCGTGAATCTTCCTTCCGCGTTAATCTCGGAATCCTCGTGGTGAGACCAAGGTGGTACACAGCGCTAGGCATTGGCGAGTAAGTTTGTTGCGCGCTCGTAAGAAAATCGTGGAGAAGTGTGACAGGTGTGACTCGGTGATCGAATGTTTGAGAAACATCTCGTAGACGCGCGTGTGATACGTGTGTTTCGTTGCGTTGGGTGTGTTAAAGCGTTGTGTGTTGAGAGAACAAAACGTGAATGAGAAACAGAAAGAAAGAGAGACCGAAAGAGGCGTCTTTGCGGATCGCGATAAAGTTCGCGGTAGTAGCAGCGGAGAGTGGCGGCAGTTAGCAGCAGCGGCAGTGGTAACAGCACAGCTTCCTAACATAGTTGTCGATCGTCGAGACGTCTTTGGAGTGTATTCATCGCGGAAATGGTAACGCATCGTGTGTAACGAGACATCAAATTTGGACGAAGACGAGACCGTCGGATAATCGTTCTCCCGTATGTAATTATACATAGATACATCATTTATTTGTTTATTTGTTTTGCGGGAAATTATAAATAGATGTTATTAAAAGTAAATAAATGTAAAAGTAAAATTTAAGTAACTCTAATTAACCAAAATAAATCAATAAAACAACCCAAAAGAAATCCAAAGGGAGGAATGTAATTGCAATTCCGTTGAGACGAAATAGTGTCGGACGGGGCTCCTCGGGAAGAACGGAATCGCATCATCGAAAGACATCTCGATCAACGACGCAACAATCAATTCACTACGTCCTAAAAACCCAGCGAGAAATGTACATCTCGAGCCGACGTCAAATCGACGTTGAAGCAATCGAAATAACGTCGAATCGACGTTGATTTGACCGTCGGTTCGAAGATTCATCTCCCGTTGAGAAGTAGTTGCCCCCCGACACTTGTCGCGACCTTCTAAGGCGCTTCTGGTGTACCTTGTCGGCTCTCTCGGCGAAGAGAGGGCTTGCTCTGGCGAAGGGGTTCCTCGAGGCTTTCCATACCCTCGGCTCCTTCCCCTTCGTCACCTCTCTCGCTGCTCATCGAACGCTGACGCTGACGTAGCGTTGACGCGTCGTTCAGCGGCACTGTCCCGACAATTTTCGTGGTGACAATTACGTCGTGGTGTGTGTAAAAGACGAAACGCGCGCCCCGACGTGTAATGTGTTCGAATAGATCGTCATGTGTCGATTAGCGTCTGTGTGTTCCTGACTATAGATCACTACTTCTCCGATCGCGTTATTTCGTCGCAGCGCGACGTGTGGCAAAACGCATATAAAAATAATAGTTGTTACATATATATATATATCTAGATATATATATATATATATCATCGCTCTTACACACATTATAGTAGATATACGGGCGACGTGCCTGAAGTAACATACGTACCTTGATTGACTTGCGAGGTGACGAAGGTCTTGATGAGGGTGTCCGTCGTCTGCGTGTACAAGCTCAGCGCGTAACGGAGGCTCTGCAATTCGGGCGATTTCTCCAGGAACGTCTTCTTCAGGCCGCTACCGCCGGCGTGGAAGTACTGCTTGATCGTATCGAGAGCGACGTCGAGGATCGCGCACTGCTTCGGCGAAAGATTCTTCTCCACCTCCTTGGAGATATCCTACCGAGCATCAAGAAACATTTAATGACGATTCTTCGAAAAAAGCCCTTGCGATTTTTCCACGGTTGAGCCGGTTTGAGCAAAAACTCAAGCTTCTCATTAGTTTAAAATCTACTGGAGAAAAACATTTTAATCACGAAGTAAAAGCGAAAAACGAGAACGGAAATGTGACGAAGGGGGAGGGGAGGGGAGTGGAGGGGGGGGAGAGAAGGAAAAGCTGTAATTTAATGAAATAATGAATCTATTCCGGAATTCGATCAATCAGATCCTTTAATTGAACCTATAAGAGCGTCTTAGCACGGCCCTGTTGGAAATTTCCAGCTGGATCCCCACGGAAATCCAAGGAATCACTCGTGTGACAGTTGACCGGTGCCCGCAAATCGACGTAAAGTTGTAATTGATTACCATGACTCCGCTGAGGGCGTTTTTCACGTCGGGTTTACCAGCCATGTGGTTCTTGAACAGCTTCGACATATCCTCTATCTTGGCGTTCGCGGCGAGGTTCTTGGCGTTGTCCGTAAGGTTCTTGAACATCATCTGCAAGAGGCAAGGGACTCGGTACTCGCTCTTGACGATACTCCAGCGATCTTTCAAAGCTGGAGGCTCAATCACGCGGACAATACGTACGCTCTTATCCGTCATAGGTGGCAGAACTACGGTCTTCTCCAGGAGCCTCATCACTATCTTCCACAGTTCCTTGAGCAGCCTCTTCAGCACCGTCTTCTCGCACGTCTCGGCGTACACGGACAGGCTACCGTCAAGCAGCACCATGAGCGGTCGCAACACCTCATCCGCCTCGGTAGCCACGCTGTTTCTCTGCGCCTGCGCCGGGACCTGCCCGCCGCCCTTGATGGACGACAGTACGTCTCCCACCTCCTTGACGGAGCCGGATATCTGCGGCTCCAGGCTGTTCGCGAAGAGCACCGCCAAATCGTCCAGAGCGATGTTCAGCAGTTGCTGCTGGTCCTTCAGGATGTTCGCCGCGTCTGGCTCGAGCTTGTCGCCGCCCATCGCATTGAACAAATTCTCCAGCTGCACCCGCAGTTGCTGGATGTTGTTCATCATAACGCACGACTGCGGGACAAAACGATTGAATTAACAGACCGATCGCCGTGTCCAGCGAACTTCGCCGGTAGACTTTCATTATTTGCCGTAACACGTACGCATCGTTCGTCTTGCAGGTAAGCCGGGAATTCCTTCTTCACTATGTCCACGTAGGCCAACAGCACCTTGCTGATGGTCTTGGCGTACCTCTTCAAGTACCTCTTCCAGATCTCCGGGTCTTGGCACTCGAGCTTCGTCACCACGTCGAAGCACTGCGACAGCTGCGTGAAGACGTCGACGACGGAGTTGCTGAAGAGCACGTGCTCGGAGCTGTATGGGAACTGTGAGAAGAGAAGTCGGAGGCGTCAGAAAAGCGCGAGCAGAGTTCGATGGGGTTTCGAAAGAAAGAGAGGGATAAATAGATATACAGATAGATAGATAGATTGATTTTCGTTCCAGGGTTCGGCCGTTTAAGAACGTTGAAGAAGAGAAAGGGTATTAGTTACGATGTGACACTTACGTAAATCTCGATTAGTTGGTAAAATATGTGAGAGAAAAAGAGACAGAGGTAGTTAGAGAGACAAAGTTAAGGATGAAACTTACGCTATCCCTTTTATCTCTATTAAAGGCACCGTGGAGATAATCTAACGACACGTCGTCGTTCTCGTTGAGCCACTGCATGACGAAGGGCTCGAACCAGGCTGGGTATTCCGGCACAGCGCCCTTGTAAGGTGGCACGTCTATAATGTAGTTGGCGTGCAGCCACTTGACCTTGAAGTGCAGGTTCATGTAATTGGAGGACTTGCACAGCCTGTGCTGTTCGTGCTCCTCCAGGGCGTACTTGATGTCTACCGCGAACAGGGACCACATGGTGGCCGCCGACAGTTGACCGATGTTCAGCTCCTGAGGGAACTGATTCAACACGGGCGCATAGCTGTTCTTGTCCTCCTCGATCACCGAGGCGATCAGGGCGATCAGCTTGTTCCAGAATTCGACCGACTCCAACTGCGGCCCGGAGTCTTCCGGTTTAGGCTTCGCGTCCTTCGGGTCGACCTGGAACTCCCGGTAATAAAGTTCGTTGCAGTTCTCGAAGAGGAACTGGTACGTCGAGCGCAGGCAGGCCTTCACGCAGTCCTTCACGACGGTGCTGGCGCGCGGCGGGCTCGACAGCTCCTGCACCTTCATGCGGAAGAACGTGATGCTGGTCAGCAGGTCCACCGTGCTCTTCAGGTCCATCAGCTTCTCGTGACTCGAGGCCGGGAAGTTGTTTCTGTACATCGACAGGTCGATCCTCAGGGAGTTGTGCAGCTGGTCCAGCAATTTCACGAATTTCTCTTTCTGCAAGGGGAGAAGAGCCTCTCGTTTAGTTTCCATTATCGCGCGAAAGCCACGGGGAGACTTCGTTCTCTCTTCCCTCCCCTCGGCGGCAAATTCGCCGACATCGATTCTCTCCAACCCCGGAGGCTCTTCGCCGATGAGGCAGCCGCGCGTTTCGCCGGAAGATCGAAATTACCGAACCTGCCACCGAAGGTAACGATTCCGGCGTGTCTCCGCCGCCGGACTCGGCGAGGGAGAGTTTCGCGTAAAATTCTCGAAGGACAGCGTCATGCATAATTCAGGAATATGAAAAACACACGCTCCCCGTACGGCGGTTCGCTTCCGAAATGAAGAGATCCGCGCGAATCTAAATGTCCCGCGAAATTTCGGTCCGCCTATTATCGTCTTCCGTTTTATTACGGCTGCTGAGAAGCGAGAATATCGCGCGCGCGCTGCAAAAAATTTCCATATCGCCCGACAAGGCGAGAAAAATCCACTCGGCCGGCCTTGGCTGCCAGTCAGCTGAAATCCAGACAGCTGGGTCGGAAAGAACGCGGTCGAAGAAAATCTTAATTAAAATCTTAATTAACTAGCGTGCGTTATAAAGCCCGCCCGCCCNAGCAGTAAACTTATGACCATAAACACGGCACGAACTTGACTTCTTGACCCGAACGCGGACCAATATTCGACGCGCGCGGAGGAGAGTTTCCTTCCTCGTAACGGGAAAGAGGCGGCTCGAAGTTGCCCTCTGTTCACGAAGGGCCGTTTGCGTTATCGTTCCCGGGGATAACCCTCTCGCGTCCAATTTCACGTTTGGGATTTTACCCGGAACCCGACGCAGCACAACGCTTTAATCCCCTCCTTCGAAAGTTCGCCGAGTAATTATTTGGAGATTCGCGTCAGCTGATCCGTTATTCGCGAACCGTGAGGGTAATTGACAGGGTCGGCTGGTGGGCGCGCGTCCTTGCACGAGTCAACACGCGCAGGATATGGCGGGTGAGGATACGGTCTCGGTATAACGGATAGCACCGGTCGCCAGGAAATTGCAGGAGTATTTCTCGCCGCTCTCCTCGTCGGGTCCCAGCATCCGCCATCCTTCACTCGTTCTCTTTACCCCGCGCGCGCGCTCGGCGCCGCGGCGGCGCAAACTTCGGCATCCGGCACTCACCCCGAAGTTACTGGCGGCGAATCTATCACTGGCCGACACGGCCGGACTCGCGGTCGTGTGGGCGTAGTACGCGTTTATGTTTGCCAGGAGGGTCGACATCACGGCCGGAACGCCTGGGCACAGGTACTTGGTTGAGAGGCAGTGGAAGTGCCTGCGGAGAAAATACGAGATCGATTCAGCGGGTTCGCGATTAGAGGGCCCGCGTGTTGTGTCTCGCTTCTAGCAGTCATCGGGTCCTTTTCATCTCTCCCGTCTCTATGATTTCTCGCCGCCTTTATCCCGGACAAGCGAGCGCTCGATTCGACTTCAAATTTTCATCGCGACACGAATGCTGATTTTTATTTCAATTTCACGTGGTTGAAGTTCGGAGCGATCCTCGTGCGAGAATTAAAATCATTTTTTCTTTCAAAATTAACCTCAGTAAAGATCCAAAAATAAGCGGAAAATAATAAAATCGTCCAAAATGTGTCGATATCAATATACATAAACGAGGAAAACGGGAAAGATAGCGCGCGTGCGAAAATTCGCACAAAATAAATTCCTGCCGAGAGACCCGATCGCCACATTTTGCATAATTTTATTACTTTTTCTTCATATTTTTGTTTTTCTCTGATGGTTGAATTTGAAAAAAATTTATTGAATTTCCGCTCCAAACTTCAATCACATTTCGTTTTATCGTCTTATCGCTTTCGCGGCGACACGATAGTGAAAACTTGTTTACTCGCCAGCTGATATAATCCTAAGATGGCAAAATTGAATTCTACGCAGCGGAAAATGAAAGGTCAACGACTCCTATTCACTCACGTCATCGCCTGGTAGATGCTTTCGATGCCGTAGCGCATGGCGAACTCGTCGACGAGCTCCTCGCCCGGTGGATCAAAGTAAATCTTCCAAGCGTCGTCGCCCTTCGCTTGCGGTAAGATCACCATGCCGCCGTTCTCCTCGCACAGGCTGTGGAAAAGGTTTTCGTGCAGGCAGGTGTATTGCACGTGGTAGGGTGCCACCTTCTCCTCGCCCTTGATCTCGACGCTGATGTGCAGCCGAATGGCGCCCGACACCGCGCTCTTGTCCGTCCGCTTCTCCAGGTTGTACCAGACGTCCATCTCGCCGCTCAGGGTCCGCACCTCGATAATGGTCTGCCCGAGGAAGTCGTCGCTCTCCCTTGTCAGCTTCTGCCGTAGCTTTGACTTCAGGTCGTTGTCCTCATCCCACACCCGCACCTTGATCCGATCGGACGAATTGTGGCATTCGCTACGGGCACGAGAATCTATGCTTGAATCATCGTCTTCTTCGTCTACTGCCTAGTCGAAATTTTGGGCTTTCTTTGGACCCGAATTTTCTACATCTGTAGATTCTGAAGGAACAATGCAAGTTTCATTTATATAGAAAGTTTACTCAAGTCGAAATTTTAGTCCTACATTAAGTCTGTTTAGTTCTACATTAGTTCTTTATTATTACCGTGTAGATCATCGATCATTCATGATGGATTTCTCGTTTAAACGGTTTGTAATATTCAAATTATTATATAGTATTAATTATGTATTTCAATTAGTAATATTATAAAATTCATGTAATAATACTCTTTCTTATGAATAGTGAAAATCTAACAAAAATAAATATTATCAAATGAATTTTATAATATTAATCGATACATAATATTATATAATATACGATATTTCTTAATATTGAAGATTTTTAATAGTTAAAATGAGAAATCTATCGTGGATCATTAATTATCTATTATCATAGAACGTGAGATATACCAACAATAATGTTTGTTATAATAATGTAAAATTATAATTATTTTAATTAATTATAATAGACGATTCAAAATTGATGTTTATAAAAAAGATTTTTTATTTACTTATATTTGGTTTACTCATATTGTAAAAAGTTAAGAAGAATTTGGAAGAATTACAGTAGGAGAGAGAGAAAAAGCAGCAAACCAAGTAGAATTATAGATTTAAAATAGAAGCTGCAAGTTAAATAGAATTAAACAAAGTTTCTACGCTTCAGAGTATCAAAGTAAACATTAAATGGAATTTTTAACTCGAAAATAGAATTAAAATTTGGACTTGGATCATCTTAGAAATTAGTTTCTCGCATCGCGGCTTTCAACGTTCCTTAACGAAGTATTCTATTTTGTTGGGTCAAAAAATTGATCTTTTTGTTTTTATATATTTCGGTGGTCTGAAGACTTGAGAATTCATTTATGAAGTTTTAAGTGAAAATGTGAAAAATTGTCGAAGTTATGGACCACAGACTGAAGCGGCGCGCAGATAGAAAACTGCAAATAGAACTTTAGATCAATATAATTACCCTCCACCTCTCAACAAAAAGGTGAAAAACGTCCTTTGATCGATTTAGGAGAATCTATTTTCTCAAGATTTATTAAAACGATGCTTCGAAGGCTGCTCGAAATAATAATGAGATATTTAATGTTGTAGCATCTCATTCTAAAGCACGTTTTTGAGCATCGAAAATAATTTAAATTACTGTTTGCTTAGTAGTTTGCATATTCAAGTTTGTATATGAAAGATACACACAATTATTAAAGATTGTGGAGTTGCTGGAAATAAAACTAGGACCTCAGACAAAATTTTTTACAACTACGCGCGATGCCGAACGGTTGAGAATTACCGAGCGCCTTTCAAATCTCGGAGGTAGTAAATAACTCGGAAAGATGAAAAGCTAATTAAATAGGGATTATTTGAAAAAATAGAAGCTTTACTTTATGATCCCGGGATAGTTAATTAAATGTAAATAAATAATCAAGATTTATATTTAAACACAACTTTGAACTTTAAACAGTTTTTCTCGAAATCACATTTTTTTAATTAACGGAAGTAATAGTGTAAAAACGATTAAAAATGTTACTTTTCACACGTGTTTATAAAAAACATGCATATCCATAAAGTGACCTGCAATAAAAGCGATATCTATAATAGTTGTTTTGTTATTGCAAAATAAATATCGCAATTTTACCAGAAAATTGATGTTTCATTTTTTTTTAAATTGCCATCCAAAGGTTTTGTCAATGTTTGTGTTAGACTATTGGTTGTAGTCCACTTTATAAATACGATCGTATTGATTGAGAAAATTATTCATTTATTTCGGATCATGCAGTGGTTCTCAATCACTTTTGTGAGGCAGAGATGTTTTTATCGCCAGTCTCTAGTTTATTGCCATTTGCGATCGTTTCAGTAATTAATATGAGATATTACACTGCACCATTTATAAAGTGCAAATGTTAATATGCATTTCTAAAAGAGTTCATCTCGATAGCTTTAATAGTTTTCCTACATCACCCAATAAACGCCACATTAGTGGCCTGACAAGAATACCCTCCTAATGGTTAGAATGAAGAATCTATCCGTAATTCAATAATTATGTATAAACATAAGACGTGAGATATATTAATAATGTTTATTACAATAACGTAAAACTTTAATTATTTTAACTAATTGTGACAGAATTCAAAAATAATTAAAAAAGAAAAGTTTCAATTTATTTACATTTGATTTATTCATATAATATAAAAAATAAAGAAGAATTGAGAAATATCACAGTAGGACCAGCGAATCATACAAATAGAATTTACAGATTTTAAATAGAAGCTTTATGTTAAATAGAATCAAACATGTTTATACAGGCTTCAGAATATTAAAGTAGGCGTTAAATGGAATTTTCAGGTCGAAAGTAGGATCAAAATTTCGACTCGGGCCGTCTTGGAAATTAGTCCCTCGCCCCACGGCTTTCAACGTTTCTTAATCGATCGACGGGAGAGACGGTTTTACGACTCTCTAAATTTCTTGGAGTGAATTTCCACTTGGAAAACAGAGTGACTCCCAAATCCGATTAACTTTTCACTTGTATAAGTTATTTTCTCTCACTCGGAATCATAGAGAGTGAATTCTTGTCGAATTCTCTCCGAATCATCGAATGAATATGTCCTATCTTCCTGTATACCTTCAGAGCTTTGTAAATCAATTGGACTACTTTCACTCGAAATTGAAGATTGAATCTGATGTAACTCCACCGTCCTCCCGGAGTAAATTCACTTTAATCGGCAGAAACTCTCACTCGGCGCGGATTAAGAATCCACTCTGCGGTTTGAGCGAAGGGCGCGCGAGCTCTCGCGATTCCGAGCGCGGCGGTATTTCCATCGTTACCTCGGCTGAACTTTTCCTCTCCCATGAGATGTCACTTCAAGAAATTTCGAGCGCAATTCCAACGCGTGCACGGCTTTTTCAACAATCGTCTCTCCCTCTCGCGGTCTCGCTCCGGGCGATACCGTGCGGCTCCCTTTAAAATCGACAATGCGTCGTCGCTCGTTAGAACGAGCGGCGAGAAATTCGCTAACGGGATTGAAGACGACGTGAAATTATGCATTTCGCGGGAGTTGCCGGCCAAGTTGTCGGCGGTTACTTACAAGTAGAACTTCTCATGCCACACTGGATTCAGCTCTCGCGGCATGGTCCTCGTGCGCTTCTTTACTTTACCGACTTGAACCGTCACGTAGGGATCGGATGTGCCGCTCTTATCTTTGGCGATTAGTCCCTGGGCGCTGATCACTAAGCACGGTGGAAGAATAGTGTTAGACCACCAAGACTGCTCGGCCCTGGAGTGCCTGGAGTACGCACGACCCGGGGGGAGGCGTACCGGAGAGCCTAAGTTCTCGTTCCTCCGCGAACCGTAAATTTGCGATTTCGCTCCAGCGATATCCGTAATGCGATTACCATGAGAGACAATACCATCGAACGTAAACGTTAGCTTCGCCGAGGCTCGCCAGCTGGCTGGTGTCCAAGAAGGCGACTGTCGACCGGCTTCGCCCAATAAAGCTAACAAAATCGAACGTCCGGCGGAACATCTGTTCGCGCGGCACCGCGCGAAAACACGTGGCGCCGTAAATTCGCATTTATTTTTATTATTATGGGCGCGCGAACGCGAATAACGACACGCGCGCGTCCGTCGAATAATTCCTGCCGGACTTCCCCGTGAATCCATCCTCTCTCGGTGATGGTGAGGCCGAGGGAGTTCGCGGGGCGCGACGACGCGACGAAAATCCGACACGGAGACGTAACGAACGCGAGAGACAGGGCTTCAGCGGAATGGCTGACTTGTAATTTTAAAACAACGTTTCATGCCCTAATCTTTGTCTACATTATCGTTTGTTTACTTTTTCATTTTACGGTTTGTCACATCAGTCACAAAAAAAAACAGCTTTTTAAGTTAACCCACTTCGTTTCTTTGTTCCTAAATAAGAACAGCAAATTTATCTATCTTCCAACATTTTTTTATTTATGATTAGGTTACTAAAGTTATGGCCTATATCTTGTTACTGAAATATAATTTGGACGTTTGCCTTTCAGGAAATAATTTCACCTGGCTACCACCTATCATCTCTGACAGTAGGTGGGGCTGGAAAGTAACCTTGCAAAACACATCTTTTTAATTCATTATTTAAAAACTGTAAAAATTAAAAAAAAACAATGACAAGATACCGTTGCTAAAAGTTCATCGATAACGACTATTCCCGTTATGATTCACCAGATGTATACCAAGTATCACTCAAGGTAGATATTCCGGCTATTTTCTAGAAAAAAAAAAACGGCTGGTCGGAAAATTCTGATCTTAGGTTTTGAGTTCCTCGGACCCCAATTGTCTTGAAAACGATGCTTGGATCGCACAGATCTCAGTATTTTTACAGCCCGGCCCGAAATGAGTTAAGATTCAAGATACAAGGCAGTCGTTGGGCGTTACTCAAAGACAAAGACTTAAGGCGTAAAACGTTGACTTCAACCGAGAAGTCAGCCATTCCGCCAAGGCGCAGAATTTCGAATTCGCGACTCGGCGAGGCCTCCGAGGGAATGGCTGATTCGCGTTGCTCAAGAAGCAGCGGGCCGATAAACGAGCCGGGGATTTACGATCCATCCTGTGGGCTCGTCGTATCACTCCCGGACGATTCGTTTCGGATCGACCAGCGAACAATCGACCGCAGACGCATGGTTACGGCTCGGACACGAGGCCGTGAGCGCGCCACCGAACGCGAAGCAATAAAATTTTACTACCCTGCGACTGATTCCAATTCGACGACGTATGCGTATTTTATACGCATTCTCCGTCGCCGTTAATCCTCCGCTTACGTTCGCGGATTCTAGGACGATCAGCACCGATGAAGAGCCAACCGAGTCGCGTAACCCGCGAGATGACCGACGATAAAAGTAGCGACGACGTGAAACAGTAATTAATCACCCGTTCGCTCGCAATCTGATACGGCCGCGGACTTTTGAGGGACGGACCGATGGAAATTCAGATTTTCGTCGCGCCGATACGAAGCTACGTGTCGATACGAATAGCCTCTCGGGGGCCCGCTTCGATTTCTCGCCACACATCGCCGATACGACGATTCTTCCGACGTTCATGAACGGCGGTCAGCCCGGTTATTTAGAGGAAACTTTTCAGCCCGAGCGTTTCATATTCATCTATTTGCACGTGCGCCGCGTGCTGTTAGTATGAATAAATATGAGAAACCGCTTTATATGAGAATTTAATTAAAAAACAGCCAGCTCTCGGAAACTCGGCGAATCCCGCGGGGCTTTTGTCGGGGCAAGTATTCGCGAGATTAAGAAGCCGATGCGCTTCCCCGTTGTATCCTCCGTTATTAAATAGCGCGGTTCGTCTTCCCCGGTGAAATTCTCGCAATCGGGAGAATCTACTTGACTTCGGGGGGGGGGGGGGGNNGGGGGGGGGGGGGGGGGGGGGGAGCGGAGAAACAACAACTCTCGCGGTGAATACTCGATTCCGACGTGAGACGCGAGCGTACGCGTCACACCGGGGGTCGCGAGCGCCGAATCAATCGGAATACATCAATCGGGCGAATCGATTGGTGGCTCTTAACGGACATTTATCGCGATGCGACGTGGCAGGTGTTGTGTTGTTCGTGCGATTTGTCGCATACACATCACGTGTCATGGCGGAGTTGCGAATAAAAATTCTGTGCCTCCCACATAGATGCATGCAGAGGCTCAACATTCATCGGCCGGACACACACGATATGTATATATGTATATACACATATATGCATATATACATCATATATATATATGTATATATACCTGGATAGAAATTTAAAACGGGGACTGAAAAAGCGTTATATAATTTGCCCCCACTTGTATCTAGGCCCCATAAAGCACAAGCCCACTTAAGTCCTACACAGAAATGTAACGTTCGTGAATTCAAATAATACCTGCATCAATGCAAATTCAATCAAATCAAGACTAAAAATCTTCCAAGAATATTGTAACATTCTTACTTATATATAAGAATGCCTATCATTGATTTAAAGCTATTTCTTTTCTGTGTATCGATTTATAAAAAAATTCAAATGCGGATGTAGCCTGTTTGTGTTAAGTTTTCTACTTATAAGCACTATTTTTGAGAACCAAAATCAAAGTTAGTTAATTTGGTCTTATTTCGAATTTATTATAGTGAATTTCACTTAAGTCTCTTTGAGACCTCATTTTAAACTATTTCAAGAACTGGCTAACTAGGTCCTGAATCTTATGAACACATCCTTTAGAGACATTTACAGTTAGTGGTCGTACAAGACCTATTCGCGAGATTCCATTCAGAATTTGCCTTTCTTAGCCGTATTTAGGCCCAACGAAGGCAGGTTTATTTTGGGGACATGCTTACCTAGAGCCATTACAGACCTGGGGTACACGTCCCGATTAATTTCTACCCGGATATATACGTATATTGTGACAGCCACCTGAAGAAAGCGTGCAGAAGCTCGGCGTGTGGATCGCGTTGTCGTGTACCGTGACGATGCGCGGAGCGCGTGAGATTGCGATTCGCGATTCCAGTTTCACGGCGAGAACCTCCTTCCGCAAGCTTCAACTTTGTTTTTTAACAAGCCCAGCCACACGATAAGCGATAAACAAAATCTCCACTCGACTATTCACGTCATCAAGGCAATTGACGGTTGGCCCGTCAGTTGACCGCTCGACGGCGATTTAAACGATCCTCTCCCTCCCCGGTAGGAAAGCTTGCCGTGAAACCTCGCGAACTCCCGCGCCCTGACAACACGCACGTATGTATGTGTGTGTGTGTGGTATATATGTGTAACATACATACATACATGGGCGCATACATATAGACATGTGAACGTAGAGACATAAAAGGAGAGTATTCGGAGTAAACAGGTAGATATGTATATATCTATATATCTCTATATCTATATATATATATATATATATATATATTTATATATATATATATATATATATANCTCGATGATTAATGAGATTAGGTATGAAATCGACATTCGTCGAGGGCAGGAAGCATCGGCGATCGTCCCACTGCAATCGGCGGTGCGACTCAAAAGAGTTAGTAGCATGGGCATGTGTGTCTGTCCGTCGCTCCGAATCGCAGCACGTTAACTCTCTATATCTATATATATATATATAGATATAGAGAGTTAACGTGCTGCGATTCGGAGCGACGGACAGACACACATGCCCATGCTACTAACTCTTTTGAGTCGCACCGCCGATTGCAGTGGGACGATCGCCGATGCTTCCTGCCCTCGACGAATGTCGATTTCATACCTAATCTCATTAATCATCGAGTCATCGCCACAATCCACTTGGTGAGATGTCGAGAGTCTCGGAGGCCCGGGTATCCGTGTGAGAGTGTGTATGGGTGTGTGTGCGTGTCCCTCTGTATGTTGTGTTGTAATTCGCGGACGGACCGCGCTGCAACGTGTGTTCATTGTGCGCGCGTGTGTGTACGGCGCATCGCATGATCGTGTGTAATCGTATTCCATCGGCTTGATGTAAATCGTGCCGCGCTGCACTTCATTAATTTAACAATTAGCGACGCGAGCATATGACGAGTGAAAATACACGTTATCGGGTCCGAGCATCGACGTGCGTCGCGCGACGGCCGCTCGTTCGGCCGAGCGATGCATTTAAGATACGCCGGCGGGGCCGGCGCGAATCGCGCGAGATACCGTGGGAAACGCGCGAAATCGCGTATATAAATCCATTACGGGAATATAGTCGGATTTATCGACAGCACGTCGAAAATTTCCTGCCATTAAACAATATACGAGAGGAGAGAGGAAGGAGGGGGAGAGAGAGAGAGAGAGAAAGGGAAAAAAAGAGCCCCAAATGCGTCGTATATGCTTTGTGTCGTCAAGTGAGTTCTACGCGACCCGTTATTATTATTGCTACTAATATAAAACTCGACATTTCGCGAAATGAATTCTCAAATCACCGGAAATCGTGCGGCCGAGGCACGTAATATCACGCGCGATGCGCGCCCTTTGATGAAACGTCCCGCGTTGCGATTCGCGCACCGCTAATGCAAAGGAGGGCTGAAAAAGAAAAATAGAACGGTAGGGGGTTGGGGAGGGAGGAAGGAAAAAAACACGGCAAAGGGAAACGTCGTATCCATCGTTGCGCCGCGAGTGACCGCGATGCGTATAACGTGTCGCAATTATCATCGGTATCGAGCGTATAATTTCCCGTTTGCGTGTGCGTTATGAGGTTGATCGTTATCAGCGCGT